TCATATGAGCTATAGTCTAAACTCCTAGAACCCAATACTACCGTACCTCACACCCTATTTTTCCCCCCTTTTTGGGAGTTTAGATCATAGCTCCTAGGGAGAGCTGTCGGAGCTAGAGCTTCTTTTCGGGTACCCTACATGTTTGGGGTCATACTGCGGTGGATATTAAAAATCCTGCATGACCCTAAGTACCTTATACCTGGGGAATTATGGTGCTATAGTACATTAAGGTCATGCAGGATCTTTAATATCAACCGTATCACAGGGACCCGGGACAGGGACTACATTTTTGACAACCCTTGCACCATGGCAGCTGCACTTGGGGTGTAGGGTTTTCGGGTTTCAGGATTTTAGGGTTTTAAGGTTTTAGGGTTCAGGGTTTTGGGCTGTGCACTTTGGGGTTTAAGGTTTCATCCCTCATCCCACAGAAGATCTGCTGAGACTCAGTGTGCTCTTCCAAAATCTCCACGATGTCACGCTTAATCACCTGTTTCTGCGAGTGCTAGCTGGAAACAACACTTAAACAAACTTCCTTAAGAAGTATGAGGAAGCCTTGTGAGCAATGATCAAGAGTCGCTATATCCGAACCAAGGAAGTGGATCAGGATGGCTAAAGCAGCTCACGTAAGAAACCTCAATATGATAAGTCTGCATCGGACTGTTCGCACTACTTGGTACTTCAGGGCAAGTGGAGGGCAAGCAAACTTCTGCTTCAAAACCAGCAATTACAATTTGTACTTCGCTTCTGCATGCAGTGAATCATAAGGGGACTTTGGGTACCCGAAAACCTCAAAAAACAGGAACCCTATAACTATCATGATACCCTTATAGGGTCGCTAGTTTCGGTTTTGTGGTCCTCAAAAACTTCATATTACCCAAGACAAATCTCTATACATCCATATAACCCTCCAGCTTCTATCTCATTGTCCATTCTCTTGTTCATTTGATTCTCCTTGACGGGTCGGGGCTTCTGTTACCAAACCCCTCTGAGCCCGAATACTCGTTTCCATGCTCTTTTGCATGACCACTATATGATTCCGAGACATTCCCATATGTACCATTGTCTAAACTCTTAGTATCCCCCTTAATAACCCCTATAGTACTCCCCTATAGAAACCCTTTTACCCCCCTTTAAGGAGTTTAGACTATAGCTCATATCATCCCTCATGTTGCCGTTGTCACCAAACCGAGAGTCGGGCAGGGGTGTAGGTCCATGTACGAGATTAGGGTTTAGGGTTCGGTGTTTAGGGGTTTTTGGCTTATGGGGTTCAACGTTTAGGGCTCAAGGAGCCCAGCTTTACCCTAAGGGCAAAAGTATCCAAATAGCGGAGCTTTAGATCCCAAGTACTACAACTTAGGATCTCTAGGAGAAAAGTTCAATAGAGTTTGGAGGGTGTATGATACTAGGTTCACATAAGGATGATCAGGGAATCATTCCTTCTACATTGAGACATCTTCGTGACAAGTAAAGCCTCACCCCTGCAGTCTTGGGATTAGGGTTTAGGGGTTCAGGGTTTAGGGTTTAGAGGTTCAGGGTTTAGCGTTTAGGGTTTAGCGTTCAGGGTTTTAGGGTTTGGGGGGAGGGGGGGGGCGCTGGAGAGAAAAGTCAAGGACGAGGTTGGCGACTTCTCACCCGGCCAGGCTTTGACTCAAGAACATGCCTTGAAGCATACTGGGAATCCCTCTGGCTCGCTTAGGGCGGTTTAGGGTTTAGGGTTTAGGTCTAGGACGCTAGTAGGTATATTCCCATTACAATCCTACTATATTCTGGGGGTTCCCTGTTTTGCGGTTCTAATTCAAGTCCTGTTGTAAGTCCAGGGCCTGAAATAAGACAACTTGGACCAGTTTTTGGAACTAACCATGACATGGGTGACCGGTGCAAGAGGGTTTAGGGCTTAGGATTTTGGATTGAGAGTTTCGGGTTTAGGGTTCCTATCTGATGAAAGCATAGCCCAAAATACAATGGTAGTGGCCTTCTGCGGGAGGCATGAACTCAAAACCCTAAACCCTAAAAAACTTCTTTTGCTGAGGGTTCGTAGGGAACAAAGGAAATTTATGTAAGGATCAAAAAGGAGGATTAATATGCCCTTATTCCCTACTGACCCAAGGTAAGTTATCCTGTCTCTTCCTACTTGGGTAACACACACCTTGAACCCGGGGACGTGTCTGTTGGGTTCAGGGTTACAAATGGATTCAGGGTTGAAGGCTTGGCCCTGACACCCTCTAGGACCTGCATAGAATACCCGGAAGTCTGGACCCTTAGCACTACTCTCTTGTACTTGCACTCATAACTTACACCCATGAACCTCCGCATTCAAGCTGTCTGGGATAGATATATTAGATCTCCCCGTCCTCTCTGAAAATTTGACTCCTAAACCGCCAAGAACCCTGAAAATGATGGGCTCTGCCTTGAGACCATAAACCCTTTCTGGGTTCCTAACCCACAGACCCTCATCCCCCCTGACCCCCGAATCACTACATCCGTAGCACAAAATCCCGAAGCCTGTGAACCCCTGATCCCCAATCACGAATAGGATCTCATATTGCCCCCAGAACAACAATAAATAACCCTCAATGACCTCTTGAAACCCCAAACCCCAGCGTTGGAAGGCGCCTGACGAATCTCCATGATGGAGTACTTGATCAGCGATGGCATCATGTGTTGGTCACGCCTGGATTGATTTTGGGTTTAAGATTCAAGTAGTAGTCAAGGCTTCGAGAGGAGAGTGCAGACTTTACAGGGTGTACGGCAGCTGTGTGGTGGTTCACGGCCGCGGGTCGAAGGAAGGGAACCACCAACCACACTGAACCCTAAACCCTTTGGGATTGGGATTTTGAGTTTGCAACTTGAGAGTTCAGGCTCAGGATTGAAGCAAGGATTGCTCGCCAAGGATCTCAAGGTTTATAGTCCCCTTGAGCAAATAGAGTATGGGGTATATGGGGATCTTATTATAATATACCCAAAGACATAGTATATCTACTTCAGGGGGGCCTATAGGATTTAGGGCTCAGACTTCGAACACACTCATAACGGGGTCATCAATACGGCGGGTGCGGCTGCAGCTGGTGGCAACTATGGTAGCCTTCTTGCTGATAGTCCCTAAACCCTAAAAGCTGCATCCCAATTACTTTCCGGCTGTAAGTAAGGAATGGAGGGATGGATTCCTTTTGTAGACCCTTAGGAGGACCCCCCCCACCCTGTAATAGTAATTACAAGAGATGATAAGGATTACATTGGTGCCCTATTATATTCCTTCTATACCACTATTACAGGGTGAGGGGTCCTCCTAAAATAGAAAGTTTTTTTTCATGCGCAAGAATATCATGATTTCTTGTCTGATCCCTTCCCTCGAACCAAACCTAGACCCCACATCGTCGTAGTCCCCTAACCCCAACCTCTAAACCTACTAGCAATCTGTAAGGTCATGCTGAGCCCTAAACAATATCCCACGTGCAGCCCGATTCCCTGCAGTTCAGGAATATATCTTCAATCATATAAGAGATTCCAATATGCTTTAAAGAATATTCCACTACCTGAAGGTTTGGAACCCAAGTATATGTACTTACTTGGGGTTCAGGGTTTAGGGTCTGTGAACTCTCATGGTGACTCCCTGCTTTTGTGACTGTGAATCCAGCGTTTACCCACGAAGCAAAGCATAAACCCTGCAACTACCCAGCGCCTTCTGTCCATCAGGGTCTAGGGTTCAGGGGTGCCGGGTTGAGATTTGAAGCTTAGGACCCTCACATTTCTTATGAAGAGATAGATTGGCTGGCGACAACACTTGGTACTCGGTAGCGCAAACATGTTTGGCTTGAGGTTGTTTCGGGCATGTATGTTCCGAGGTATGTTTCGGAGCATGATTCGAGTATTTCGCAGGCAGCCGGATCTAGTTAGACGAGAGTTTGCGAAAGGCATGCTTCAAGGAATGCATCTTGCCCCCAACATGCTGTCCTTGATTTGCATTTTTCGCGACGAATGAGTGATCCGCGTAATGACCGGCATCATAAGATTAGAGGATCTTGTTTCTGAAGGTAAGGTACGAGCCTAACGCATTAGAATCATCAAAGAAAATGAGCTAAATTGTTGGCAATCATTCTGCAAGCTTCTACATCCCTTTGTCTGTCCGCCCCTTGAGCCCTCGACTCTCTTTACCTTATCTATATATGCGCAACCCTTGCAAAGGAAGTAGGTTTTTCTCAATCTATGGCCAATCATTGACCTGGGGTACTGATACTGGAGCCCGTGATTGCCCATCTCCTGCCTACGGTGGCTATACCCCGGGAACTATGATGTTGAAATGTACAAATGCCATGTAAGGGCTTGAATGTAAACAATAATAGTAAGTGTTGTTTCGTCAACCACACTACGCAGGAACATGTGCTGTTCAGACAATGGACTGCATAGAGGGGATCTCTGTTTCCTCGCAATTCTAGAAATAATGGCAACAACAGCAATAGTGGTCAATAACAGCAATAGTGGTCAACAACAGCAATAGTGGTCAAAGTTGGAGGCAAGACTTGTTACTAGCGTGCTTGTATTTCTGAAAGCTTCATCAAAAGCCGAGCCGCTTTCGGAAATTGCCTAGGTGCTGGCAGAACTCTACGTAGTCAACCTCCCCCGATTTGTTGGAGTCGAGCACGTTGAAGATCGTCTCCTTTGCTAGGACGGCGGCATTGTTCGGTGAGAAATCAATTTGGAAGGGGTACTACGGGGACGCAGCATTCACAGTTTATGCTAACCCTGCGGATTCAAGTGGACCATGCTGTTTTTGTAGACCAGTTATGGAGAACAGCGAGAAAAACAAAAACATATGAGCTATAGTCTAAACTCCTAGTATCCCCCTTAATAACCCCTATAGTAACCCCCTATATTATCCCCTATATAACCCCCTTAAAGGAGTTTAGGCTATAGCTCATATAGGCCTTGAATCGCTGACAGCTACGGTCTCGTCTTCAGCTTTGGAAATCCTACCCCCCGACCACCACTGCTTTCCAAGCGGCCATGTCTTCACGCATGATGTCCATTTGCTCCATCAGAGCCTTAAACTGTGCATTGCTGTCAAAGCCATTCAACATCTCCTCGAGAGACAGCGTGCCGCTACCTGAGTTGAGGTTTGCAGACGCAGCACTTAGTCGTGAAGGGCTTAGGGTTTAGGGTTTGGGTTGGGATGATATGAAGCTACATAGGGATATTACCCCCAAATAATGGAGAATCAAATGGAATACAAAATCGAAAATGAAATGGAAACAGTGGTTTAGGGTTTAGGGTTGCTGTTAAGGAACTTAAATTAAGCTACCAAAATATGAGTACATGGTAAATATTGAGGTTTCCTTAATATAGTAACTTAGTTTAAGTTCCTTAACAGCAACCCAGTAATAAGAGCAGACAGGAGGAAGAGAAACTACTCCAATGCTTAAGTTCCAGGGTGCCGCGACCTTTTTAAGTAGGTCATGACGAACGTCTCACGGTAGCAACATACTTTCTATATCTCGAGGCCTCAACCCCACCTGTATGATACTTGATAGCCGGAGCGTACCACTTGCTGTCACTGGAAACAAAGCAGTTTGCATGGGTTTCCCTATGTTTTACCCGCTCCTAGCCTCCCCCTTAGTTAGCCTGAATTTTGCCTCAATATTCCAAAAAAAGCTGAACTTAGGGGAGAACCAGGGTTTGGGTAGTACAGGAGGGTGGCTGGGGAACCGATGAAGCTCGGGCCAACTGGAGGGGAGTTACTCGAGCAAGAAGTTTACGTAAGGGGTAGTACATAACAGGTATACAGGGAACGCAGCATCATAAAAGGGGTACATAAAGCTTCTGTAAAGTTCCTACAAGGTAACTGCTCTGCTGTAAGCGCCTTAGACTCAGAGATAGCCCTATGTGATAGCAATAAGCATGCTTCCGGGAAGTGCTTGCGATAAACACAAAACCCTGCTTGTCCTCGAATGTATTTTGCTACCATATTTCCAGGCATGTCTTCCCATCAACCGTAGGGCTATGCATACAAGGCAACATAAGGATCCAACAGCAGGCCGCATGTGTCCATGCTTACAAGAAAGCTACAAAGAATTCCGCATGTGCAAGATTTCTGTCGCAGAAACCTCCCCATGAACCAAGGTAGGTAGATTACGGGAAAAAAAACATGGTAAAAGCTAAAAGAGACTCTAGGATGTTGCCTGGTTTTAACTTGGGCCTTCCCCTACCTAACCATAGAACTGGCTTGTTGAAGGCAGGCATCCGTCGTAGTCCATGCTGTCACACAGGAGTGCCAATTCAACCATACTGCTTTCGCGCTCCGCATCCTTTTTCTGAGCTTTCCTCACCTGCGCCATTTCGGAATATCTCAAACTACTGTAGGAAGTTCCCTCGTAACACATACCCTAAGTATCAGAATCACCTACGTAAAAACCTTATATAGTTTGGTCTTTGGGCCCAAACTCCTTCAACTATGAATCCTTAGATGGTTGGGGCTGGGGATGTGTAGGAAGTTGATGAAGCTTTTTGGGATAACCTCCCATAAGGAGTGTAAGATTGGGAAATGGTGGGGTTTTGAAGTTGGCAGATCGTAGTTTTCAATTGGAGTCTAGGGTTTAGGGTTTGTGGTTTGGGGTTTAGAGCTTTCGGGGTGCCATTGTGGGAATCCCCATCAACAGGGTTGTAATATTGGGAGGGTCTTTTTGGGGGGGTGGAATTTTTGAGCTACAGTCGATGTTTCCTACACGATTTCACGGACATGGGTTCCTTATTCGGGACTATATTAGGGTTCATACTCAACTACAACGGGGACCCCTGTGTCCACTGTTAAGCTCATTTGGGTTTGGGGTTTCATGAACACTACTTTCTAGCTGGACAAACATCCGAGACTGACAAGAAGAGTACGTGCTTGTATTGATGTCGTGCTGGAATGGAATACAAGCTCTGCAAGGGGGTTTGAAGGTTTGAGGTATATGCAACTTTCTGAGATACATCGGCCGCATTAAGAAAAACAACATCCGAGTTTGGGTTAGCACTTCTGAGCCCCGTTTTGTGGCTCTACATGCAAGAACGCAAGGGAAAACGGAAGCTTACCATGGGCAAACATGTTGGAGAGGCCTATGATGCCTTGCGTGGTTGGACTGTATTTTGTCCTTTGAACCCTTGATTGCCCCTGAACTCTGAACTTCTAAACCTTGAACCCTTATGTAGACGCAGGGGCCTGAATAATACCAAGCTCCCATTTCATGTTCCATCTTCGCTTCCATTTGATTCTCAGTTGTCGGTAAATTTTCTGAAGCCACTGAACCCTAAAACCCCAAAAGCCGTATCTGCTGACCTGGTCATTCTCGCGAGCCTCTGTTGCACGCTCAACCTCAACAGCGCAGGACTAAGAAGGGGAAAGTAATCCGCGCTTGGAGTGCTCTGGGGTCTACCGGATCTGCATTAACATACAACTGACTTATACCCTGTTGCTTTAATGCCATGCCGCGTATAGCCCCTAAAGTGTAGGTAAGCTTATCTGACGGCTTCTAGGAACATCCGTTTCTTTCATTGAGGCCCCACAACGCATGCCTACACAGACAATCTCTGAACTGAACGCGAAGGTTCAAAGCAAAGAAAATGAGGAACGATTGTGCTTCCGCAAAGTTCGGATCTGTCCATACTCTCAACATAATGCTGATGCAAACATGTTTCGGGTAACATGTGCAGTTAGAAGGGTGAGAGAAATCCCCTTGCCCTGGCCCGTATACAAAATCCTCCCCAAAAAAGTTGACGATATTCGCACAGTGGAAAATTAGAAGAAAAAAGCGAATGTTTAATACCAGGGGGGTGGGGAGGTTTGATATAAGCCCTAAACCCAAGCCTAGATAACATGGAAAAGTCAATTTTCTCTTCTTTTCCTGTATCCCCCCCCCCTTTAGGGGCTGGGAATATAGTATGAAATTACAATGGTTACAAGATTTCACCATGACCCGCTCATGCCCACACATCAGATCTCGCCCTCGCCGAAACATGCAAACCCTCCACGGGGTCAGGGTTTGGGGTTTTAGGCCCCGTTGAAAGGACACTGGTCTTCATGGGGTCCATTGACGGGTTCCAAGTCGGCTTGGGGAGTTCGGGACCCAAAGCTTAAGCTGAGACCTCCCACCAAAAGTCACACGTCCAGCAGGCTGAGCCCAATTGGGAATCCTCCAGCATGCACTCATGCTGTCTTGCCTCAAAAGTCAGTATCAAGTGCCCTTCAACGTGTCCCTGATACTGAGAAGCCCTTTGGGAGCTTCTGGCCCAGCTATGCAAAACAAAACCCTGAAACCTGCGCAACAGCTATCTCTGAAGACTTAAAGCCTCAAACCTGACCCCTACCTAACCGTACATCCCTAAACCCTAAAATCTAAACCTCAAACCCTAAACCCTGAATCCCTAAACCCTAAAATCCAGGCTCTCTAAACGCCAACCTTCAAGTCCCAGGTCACTTGTCAATACTAAAGCCTAAATCCCCCCCAAACCCTGGTTAAGGGTTTGGGGTTCAGGGTTTAGGGTCTAGAAAGCAGAAATACTATGTTTTAGTCTCTTCTGGCATTTGATAGGCACCTTTGAAGGGGTTCTACTTCCCAAACAGACTTACTGGTGCTAAAGAGAAAGGGGGGGCGTGAACATAGGAACTATGGTAGGAAATTACCGTATGCAGGAATTCATGCAGGGATCCACCCTAAATCCTATACCCGAGATGAGCTTCTATGTTCCTTGCACCCCAAAACTACTAAGCCCTGGTAAGACTTAATAAACCTTGGTCCCAAATTCCTGCTCATGCCTCAGTGCGTTCAGGTTTTGAGTGTTAAGGGTGTTTAGAGTTGTATGGTTTCAGAACCCTAAACCCTAAACCCTAATACCTAAGCCCCTAAACCCTAAACCCTAAAACCTAAAACCTAAACCCCTCAACCCTACACCCTTAATCCCCCAAGTGACCTAATCCCTAGGCCCAAGACCCGTAGGCTGAGGCCGTGACAATGACTGCGAGGATGAGGTTCATTGCCTGGGTTGCTGTTAAGGAACTTAAAATAGGTTACCGTAATGCCCTACTAAACCCTAAACCCTAAACCCTAAACCCTAACCCTAAATAGTAATTTATAGGGTTTCCCCAATATAGTAACTTAAATTAAGTTACCATAATGGGTATATATAGTAATTTACAGGGTTTCCCCAATACAGTAACTTAAATTAAGTTCCTTAACAGCAACCCAGTTGCCCCAAGAGAGATGGTCATCATGATGGGAAACCTGGGTTAATGGTTTAGGGGATTAGGGGTTTGAGGGTTTAGGGGAATTAGGGGGTTCAGGGTTTAGGGGATTA